TTTTTTTAAGAGAGGTGAAATTATATTGTACTTATACCTAATTTAAATATTGATTAAAGCATATTTCTATATAATTTTACATTTTTTGTCAGTTAGTTTTAATACATATACTAATTAAATTTACCTACATATTTTTATATATTTTTTTGTATTATTAAATAGGTATTATATTGAAATTCTACATTAATAAATATATTGTAATTTTACAATTTWTGTATTTCATCATTCATATTTTTAACCATGTGGTAGACCGCATGCGTGGTAGACGACAAAATAATGTTCGGTCGACCGCATATGATGTGTAGAAACGGGCGGTAGACCGCATACGACATGAATACCGAGAAAATTATCGGAGATGTTACAATGAAAAGAGAATTTCAATGAGGCTGAAATATAAATTTTACATGAGTGTAGTGATACCAACTATGCTATATGGCTCGGAGTGTTGGGCGGTTGACAGAAGGATAGAACAGATTATGGGTGTCACTGAAATGAGAATGCTTAGATAAGTWGAGTGTCAAGATAAGATTGAAAAGGGGAACTAATATGTTAGAGGTAGTATTGGTGTAGCGTCGATAGTAGACAAGATGAGACATAATAGATTGAGATTGTTTGGGTATGTGAAGAGCTGAGAAGAAACTCAAGAAACAAAAGCAGTAAGAGTAGTTATGAAAATGAACGTTGAAGGGAAAAGGAGAAAACAAAAAAAGAGATGGTTGGATACTATTGAGAATGATGTTGGTTTGTGCCTAGTGATGTGGAAAAGAAGAAGTCAATTTTCATCAAAAAGTAAACAGCTTAGTAAATTAATTGATATTTGATAGAATATAACACTAGTATTAGTAATACACATTTAACCATATATTTTAAGTTATTTTATGCTTAAGTGCAAATTTTAAGTGTTTTTAGTCCAAAAAGTCATTGCTTAACTAATGAAAATAAACATAAATATATGAATAATTACATCAATATGAAATAACAATTTGATGATGAGTTTTAAAAGAAACAATACA